TCATGGCAGCGGATGCAGTGTTATTGCACCAATGAAAAACAACGGAAACCACGAGAAATAATTGGTTGGTCCTACGACCGGTCCACCGGTGAAGTGGTACATCCGTTTCATTCGTAAGCCGTGGGACATCAGCAGGTGCGTGTTGGCAGTTACAAGGAGATGAAGCGTCGGCACCGGAAGCCGATGTATTACTGATCCTTTTTGTGGTCTTTTAACTCGTTCTTCGTGTTAAAAATATTTTCTCGGCTTTATCTGAAGTTGCATTAAAAAGGAGAACAAGTCAAGTTGCCCTACACTTTTGTACCGTTGCTACTTCGCCGCAAGTGGGTTACATCGATTTACACTCAAACTAGATCTTCTTAATCTAGATACAAAGTATCCCACTTTATTTGGTTTGCTCAGTTCTGTTATTCTGCTGCATATTCCGTGTCAATTTTGTGTGCTTATTTTCATTCAAATTATATGCTGGTTGTTTGATATCCCCGGTGTGGCTACGCTTGATGTGAATGTTCACACCTTCCACCTCGATTACTGGCTCCAAAACACTGCTAACTTTTGCTAGGGGCACAAGGTACACGGTTCTAGTGGTTCCATCCAGTGTGGAGAAAGCTACGGCCCAATCACTGTCTTGTGTGCGTCTGCTACGCATGATTCCCCTCATAGATAGACAGAAATGCTGCTGCTGTGCATGTTGAAGGAATGTGGGCCGGCTTCGTTGACGAGATGTGGCTCCCATCCACATGCCTCTCGGTCTTATTCCTTCGGGTTTACATTGGATATGGGGTGTGTGAGTGGTGCAGTGCAAGCCACCCATGGTCCCTCTGTAGGCGTAGGCATCCTGTGGAGACCGCAGTGACAGGCAAATCCAGATGCCGAAATGCGAATTGCAAGGATCCGAGTTGGAAGTGGAATGGTGCCAATATGGCTCTAATCGAAATCAAACAGAAGACGGGATGAACCAATGTATCGAGGTTCAACTCGATGAGAGCCAGTATGCGCGGGTGTGTAATGAGAACCATATAGATGTGATAATAAAAGCGTATACTCTTTTTGGTTATAGATGTACAAAATATGGTCAATTATTCTTCATCTTTTTGAATTCTGTCCAAGTAAGCTTCATAGATAAATGCATCTGAAAGGAAAGTAAAGACGGTGCCACGACTGGTATTACTCGGATAGTCAAACACCGGTGATACAATGCAGTAATTCAGTTTAAGAGTTTTGGACAATATCGCGTTAAATTTTATGGTGAGGAAACTAAAAATAGACGAAAATTCCCGGGCGTTACAATCCCATGAAATGGATTCCTTTATTTGCGGATGCAGATGTTGGGCAATAAGCTGTAGTTAGATATGAACCCTAGTCACTGAAACCACGGTCAAACCCCGAGACTACTTGTCCACTATTTTGAGTTCCAACACAAATTGATAGCACCAATGAAAACCGTTTTTGATGGGACATCTTTCCAGTTCATCAAGTTTTCCGTTGCCGGCATTCCCCACCTTTGTCGACCAAAAATTAAATGAGAAGAAAACAAAGCAAAATGTACAGGATCCAGGGACGAAACAAGAGTTCGCTTAACAAGCGTTCCGTTTCATGTGACAGCAAGCGAACAGACGTCCCACCACTTCGACCTGATAGAAGAATCTTGGGTTTATACTAGAGAAAGATAGAAGTAAGAGCAAAGCAGCAACAATATATTCACGAAATTGCATCTGGTTAAAGTCAGTTGTGGCCGCTCATGGGAATTTGTAGAACAGGGCCAATCAATTTTCGTCCAGGCATTGCTTGGAGTTCTCTACCATTCCAATAATGCAGAGTGGAGTTTATCTCACCTAGACACTATCAGATTTGAGAAAAACTTAGCTCTTATATCGAGCCTAGATTTTTGCTGTTTCAACTTTAGAGAATGGCCCGAAAAGTGGTCCGATGTAGCTGGTTCATAGAGATCAGTTGACTTGAAACTGCTGAGACCCTCCACGATTTCGAATGTCTCTATTAAGTCCCCTCTCAATCTGTTTCCTAAGTTAGCTAACCGATCTTCATACGGTAACCCCCGCTATTCTTCTACTATTCGAGTGGACAGTTTCTACACATTCCCATTACAATTGCAGATAGGGCACCCAGGCCTGGACACAAGGTCCCGAGTGTGGTTTAACTACTGCTTTACACAAAAAAGGAAAGACCTCCAGATTGGTACAATCCAAAGCGCACCTGAATCGAAATAACCCTTGCCGTGCTTTGGTAGCATAATGGCTGCATTGCGCCGACGGCTTAAAGTTATTCGTCATGATGACGCCAAGATCGCCTGAGTCGGTAGCACGATGCAGTGTCAGAGGCCCAACGGGTGCAAGAAATCCGACATTTTCACTAATCAGGATTTGGCATTTGCTGATATTCAAGGGTAAATCCCATGAGTGTGACCAGTTGACAACAATGTAGCTTTGTCGCCCTTGAAACCATGGTCTAGCCACCTTGCAGTTTCGCCCAATTTGGTGCAGCCACGGTGTATAACGCACGCCGAGGAAGCCGGTCAACGGGCATACGGAGGACATGGCCTAGCCAACGTAAGCGGTTAAGATTCAGCAAACATTCGAGTGAGGCACCAGAAGGCTTCTTGCCAAAAACCAACTGGCGGACCTCAGCATTGCTCACCCGGCGTTCCCACCAAACGTGGACAATACTTCGTAAGCACCGATGGTCAAACACGGCCAAGCGTTTAATTTCTTCATTGCGAATTGACCGGGTCTCTGATATAAACAGTAACACAGGCCTTACCGCAGCGTTATACACGTTAACTTTCACTGATAAGTTGATATCTCACAGTCTCCATAGATGGTTGAGCCCTAGAAAGCCACACGGGCGTTGCTGATACACGAAGTAACTTCCTCAGTGATGTGACCACCAGAGGTGACACAGCTACCAAGGTAAGTGAACCGATCTACCACTTCCAGTGACTTTGCGAAAATAGCTAAAACCGGAGGTGTGTCGGCCCAGTCCTACAACAGCACTTTGAAGATGCAAAGTGCAACGCTGCGCACAAGTCTGTGCAGTAGTGTTTGCATAACTAATGAGAACTATGCCGTCCGCATACTCCAGGTTTGTCAGTCGGTCGTCACTCCGGTAATAGTTTGAAAAAAACCCGAGTCATTCATGATCGATCATAAAGTTGAAGAGGAAAGGAGATATAGGACAACCCCACTTGTAATGGGGAACTCAGGAGAGTTTCCCGTAGACCTTTACACGGCCTCACGGTACGGGGAATTCAGAATTGAAAGGAGTTTAGCTAGGATAGGCAGTGCCACAAGCTAGTGCGGTCAACAGAGTCGAAGGCAACTTTCAAGTCAAGGAAAACCACCATAATCAGTCGTCTGTGTTTCTGCTCTAAAACTTGGCGAAGGGCAAATATGTGGTCGATGCAATTATGGCCAGGGCGGAAGCCAGCCTGGCTATCAGTGATTCGGTCTTCAAGGGTATCAGTCGTCTAAGAACGATACCGGTGATAAGCTTTGAGATCTCGATGACCTTTCTTGAAAATGGGCACTACAGTTGAGAGACACCAGTTTGAAGGCACTTCTTCATTGTGCGAAATCGTGTTAAAAAGAGAAGCAAGCCCAGTCAACAGTCATTTCCATCTTTAAGCGAAGATGAGGGAAGGTCGTCGGGTCCAAGAGCCTTGTTTCACTTTAACGCGGTGAGCTCATGTTGAATGTCTTCCAAAGTGGGAAGTCTGACATACGTCTCAGGTGATACGACAAGCGGCAGTGTCGCAGCAAGCCCAACGGGCTAGTCGAAGACGCTGAGAATGAATCAACAGTCTATCCTTCTCAGCTATTGTTTCGCTAACTGATGGCTTTCTCGGACCAGTGTTTCAAATGAGCTGGAATAGCACTCGGCTGTTTCCAATAGCGCTGGCTTTCTCCATCTCACGGGCCTTTGCAACCCACCAGCGTTCTCGGTCAGCTGGAAGTCTCCTTGTCAGACGTCGTTACAAGGAGTTGCGGACACGCTGAAACTGAAGGAAGTAGTAGTGGATATCCTCCACTCCAAACCTTTGCACCGCGGTTTCTTAGAGAGTTGTTACGTGATTACATTATGTTATTTTCAGCGTGGGGTTCCACTGACGCTCAGCCCCGAAAGACTTCGCTTCCACCTATTCTACACCCGTAATGTCTCCTCATAAACTCGGACTAGAGTCAAGCTCATCAGGATCTTCTTTCCCCGTTAATTCTGCCAATCCCGTTCCCTTGGCTGTGCTTTCGCTAGATAGTAGATAGGGACAGTGGGAATCTCGTTAATCCATTCATGCGCGGTAATAATTAGATGACGAGACATTCGGCAATGAACATTTATTTTTGGCAAGTCATGCTTGGCTCAAGACACGAGTAGTACAGAATTGTGCAAAGATAGGGCAAATGCCCCGGGATAATATGAAGACAGGATGTCTCAATAGATGGCCATGAAATTTGGCCGGAACCGCATACCTTGTCATATGTTTGTGTGATTAATGTCTGCTTGCTGACGCTAGGAGGCAATACGCATATATGTGTGGTGCGGATTGATGTAACAAACAAATCAGAAATGTCCAATGTTGTTAAGCCATTGGCGGACAGATGAACTGCGGATGCACGATAAGTAAGTAAGTATGTTAAAAATCACAGAATGTTGGACAATCTCGTTGACATGTGGAAATATAGCCCGGATATAGCGAATAATCGCAGCAGCTGGACCTTCGACGGCGTATTTTGCTAATTTGAGATCATACATTCGATTGGAGTCACGGACTGCGATATCCATCACATGTGCAGTATTATTGTGGGGGACTGAAATATCTGGATAGATAAAAGAGGATGGGGTTGGAATCCTTAGTTCAGACATAAAATCTGATCCTCGACGTTTGATTGACTCAGCAATCCGTTTGGTAATATCAGTATGACGACGACATCTAGCATCGTGTGGGACACAGCAGGATTGAAGCATGTGAGATAGGATCTCTTTGACCGCAGTTACCGCGATATAGTATCGCTGTTTGCTTCGCAGGTGGTCAACTTCTAGCTCTTCGTGCTTTCGTAGATAATACACCGGCTCGAAGCTGAATGCCACGGATGAACAGTCTAGGAAAAATCTTAGCTAATTCACACAGCCAATAATGCGCAATTGAGGAGGCTGTTACGTCCCTTAGGGGCATGCCATCAACCGAATTAGTAAGAGCCACTTTCCTAGCTGCTTTCGCGGTTAATTTGTCTCTTACAATTTGTTTTCCAATGACTACTGGGGTGGTAGTGAGGCAGTGAATCGCAGAAGCTGCAGGATCCCGAATGGCCTACACGGTGATTGGGTTTTGGATCGTCAAATAACGTTCTAGTTATGACCTCCGAAGAAGAGGGATCATCGCCGACATGGGGGAATACCCAGACCAAACTCACTCAATAGCATTATGGAAATACGCAACAGGGGTGTCTTTAGGTAAGCAAAGTCAGTGGTGCACACTCGCTTTTACTAGCCTTTCCATTGTCTTGAGGGTAAAGGGATGTATAACCGCAAGAGAAAGCTGATGGATATGTTGTTGAAGAAGCAGGATCCTAAAAATTTCTAATTGTTGATGGGTTTCAGAGGCGCCTTTGTCATTTCAAGCAGTTGCTGCCAAACATGTGGAGGGGAAGTCGAGCGTAGTTTACCTCTCTCCAATTAAATGGCAATCCTAACAGATTACAAGATTCATCCAGTTGAATAGATGGAATTGTCAAGGAACCACAATCCAGTGGCGAGGTGTCAAGTATCGCTATCTTCCTCTTACCATCAACCACAATGTTAACAGTCGAAGAATTTAGAGGATTGATTGAAAATCCGATCGGAGTTGGCTGATCTTGGAGTAATTTGAGGCGTTTCGACAAAGCTGCACGATCGTTAGCCAACAGCACAATCTCATCGGCATAAGCCAGATAGTCGACTGCGCCCACGGGAGACTCCCACGAGGTCTCAGTCGAGTGTTGCAACGCTTCATCCAGAGACATGGTAAAAAGAAGAAGCCACAAAGGGTCTCCCTGACGGATGCCCCGTTCCGGGTGGATCCTAAGATCATGGAAGGTGGAAACAGCGGTAGAGTAGTAACAGGCAAGCCAATTAACGAGG